CGCCGCTGACGATGGCGACGAAGGTGACGATGACGACGACGGCGACGATGACGACACCGCCTTGCCGCGGTCGCTGCTACATCATTACTTATTTACGCGCGTCCAATAAGCGCGCGCCTCCGCCTCGCCTCGCGCTCTGATTGGTCGCCGCTCCACCGCTCCCGGCAAGCGCAGACGAGCGAGAGAGCGAGAACGGACGCGCGCGCGAGAGAGAGAGAGAGGAGGCATAGAGAGAGGGAGCCGGCATAGCAAGCCCACGCGTATACGATCGCTCTCCGTCAGCCACCTTCACAACCCAGCATCTCCCCCGCTCTCTCTCTCATTCTCATTCTCTCGTCACTGTGGTCATTGAACGGCGCCGCCATCGCTAAGGCGACGGTAAGTCAACGCCGCCGCCGTAAGCTGCTTAGCTCGTCTACCGCGCTGTCGGCCCCGTGTGTTCACCGCTAGTCGACTGGAACTGATTCGCGCTGTCGACTGGACGTGCATACGACACAAGGATGTGTACGTGTGGTTAGGATATATACGTGTGTGTATATATATATATATATATATAGACCTGTGCGTGTGTGTACGTAGCTACATCTCTGTACGTATATATATACGAGACGTCAACAGTGCATAGCACAGTAGGGATTCCGTACGTACGTGCGTGTGTGCGTACGTGTGTGCGTGCGTGCGTGTGTGCGTGCAGCCTCCGCCGTGGATGTGAATGTGATAGATGGACCGAGGAAGCAAAAGATCGACGAAGTGCGGCTAGCAAGAGCTGAAGATAAGTGTGAGTATAACTGCGATCTTTAATATAGATCTGAAAGTGGCAACTTGCACGCCCCAGCGTTGCTGTACGAGATAGAATAAAGGAGAAGGGAGGATAGTGACAGATAGAGAGAAGTGAGAGACGACGAACAAATTCTTGGTCAAACATTACCAGCGTTATCCCCAAGGAACTGCCTGGGAGCCAAAGTTAGCGAGCCAAAGTTAGAGAGTGAGAGAAGTGCCAGCAGCAAATACCTACGCAACTGTAAGTTCTACGAAGAGAAGAGATATCCGCTCATACTCGCTGTTTTCTCCTAAAAAGGAACCGACATGAGAAACAGACAGCGCGAGAGAGCGACAGACAGGGATATGTGCGATATTAAGCGCAAATGCTGCGAAGGGTAGAGAGATATTCGAAACATCTTTTCCCCGAACAGAAACAATATATAACAACGAGACTTGGCTCCCCGGAGCGAGAGCGAGCGTATATTTCACTCGTCAGTACTGCTTCCACGCGACCTGTGTAAAGAAAAATCCGTGAGACTGGTCCGCGTCGACAGCTAACTGTAAGTTATCACTGTGAGCGAGGCAACCAGAAGTCACAGTACAGACCAGAACTGCGAGTGGTGATAAAGTTGGGGACCACAAGCACTAGTCGACCACCAATCCATCCTATTCCTATTCCACCACTACTACTGCTACTACTGCTACTGCTGCTACTACTGCTACTGCTGCTACTACTACTACTACTACTACTACTACTACTACTGCTACTACTACTACTACTACTACTACTACTACTACTACTAATACTACTACTACTACTACCAAGATGCTTGCGCAACAGTCGAAGATGGTCTACCAGATCAACAAATACTACCAGGAGAAGGTGCAAGCGCGCAAGGCGAACACGGCGAAAACCATCCGCGAAGTTTGCAAGGTCGTACAGGACGTTCTACGGGAGGTAGAGGCGCAGGAACCTCGCTTCATATCCTCCCTCGTCGAGGCCAACGGCCGCTTCGAAGGCCTCACCGTACTCGGGCCGACAGAGTTCGAAGTCGTGCTCTACCTGAACCAGATGGGCGTGTTCAATTTCGTCGACGACGGTACAATGCCCGGATGCGCCGTACTGAAACTGAGCGACGGTCGCAAGCGGTCTATGTCGCTGTGGGTGGAGTTTATCACCGCATCCGGTTACCTATCGGCTAGGAAGATCCGCTCGCGGTTTCAGACGCTCGTAGCGCAGGCCGTCGATAAGTGTTCGTATCGCGACGTCGTTAAGATGATAGCCGACACGAGCGACGTCAAGCTGCGCATCCGTGAACGATACGTTGTCCAGATAACGCCAGCGTTCAAGTGCGCCGGTATCTGGCCCCGAAGCGCTAGCCACTGGCCCGTATCCAACTGCAGTTGGCCGAACCCGAACATGGTCGCCGAAGTAAAAGCGGAAGGATTCAATCTTCTCTCGAAAGAACTCCCTCAGGTTCAGGGCAAGCAGTCCTCAGCGGAGGGAGACGCTTGGGTGATCTCCTTCGACGAGGCAGAAAACATGCTTCTATACGGAGGTGGGAGGAAGCGATGTTTGAGTCTTCTGAAGACTCTTCGTGATCGACACCTGGACCTGACGGGCCAGCCCCTCAACAACTATCACATGAAAATGCTGCTGCTGCATGAATGCGAGAAACACCCGCGCGAGGGCGAGTGGGATGAGACAGTGCTCGGCGATCGCATCCAGGGAATACTCCTGCAGACGATATCCTGTCTGCAGTGCCGCCGCTGCCCGCACTACTTCCTTCCGGCGCTCGACATGCTGAAGGGGAAGTCTCCCGCAGCGCTGGAGGCTGCGGCCAAGCAGTCGTGGAGGCTGACGCGTGAGCTGCTAACCAACTCACGCTGCTTCGAAAAGCTCTGACCGACGTACGAACGGTGGCGCCCTCTTGTGTGTGAGTCGCTCAACAACTCGCGCTGCCTAGAGAGGCTCTGACCGACGACCGAACAGTGGCGCCCTCACGTATGCGCCCTGGTCGTGGTGGCGCCCCCTTGTGCATGATTTGCTCATGGAGTCATGTTGCCGCGAGCAGTTCTGAACGAGCGAACGGTGGCGCCCTCTCGTAGACGCCCTGGTCGTGGTGGCGCCCTCTTGTGCATGATTTGGTCCCGAACTCGCGTTGCCGCGAGAAGCTCCAAGGGAGCAAAGGGTGGCGCCCTCTCGCGGATCCTGTGCGAGAGCAGGTCACTAACTCACGCTGCGAGGGAGCGAAGGGTGGCGCCCTCTCACAGACGCTCGGAGCGACGGTGGCGCCCCATCCAGTGATCTCGGAACGCTGCGTGCATCTCGCGTCGGAACATTGCATCAGAACGTTGCGTCATGACGTTGGTTCGTGGACGTTGCGTCGTCGCGAAGACCGTCATCGTGCACCGTATGACGTCATGCTGACGCGTGTACGTTGAAGGACGACGAGAAGACGTTTGTGATGACGTCGCCAGTGACGTCATGCGCATGTGTGCAGCCAGCGTGATTGCGTCTTCCGATGACGTCGTCAAGAGCGAGGATTAGATGTCAGAAGCTGTGCTGTGACGTCACGTGTACATGCGCAACCCTGATCAGATGAAGTAAGACCATATATATATATATATATACATGAGCAAATATATGTATGTGTCATCAAAATGGTGGAGAGAGTAAAGTCGTTGTAATTATATCAAATTCTAATGAAAATCAAACGCGCTCCATACGAAGCGAATATATATATATATATATTCGTAAAATATGTATATGTTAAATATTGTCTATTCCCGGTACCAAGCATGTCCCTTGTTTTCTGCATATATATATA